GTAGCTCTTCTCTCTCTCTCTCTCTCTCTCTCTCTCTCTCTCTCTCTTATCAAAACATAATTCCCAAGATATACAATCATGTGATAAAGAAAAACCAATGGAAGATGTAAATACATAACATAATTCCTGAGAAATATATTCTTATGATATCAAGAATTGGACAGCATAAATAGATAAACAACAAAGAAGGAAACACAATGAACAGGGCGAAAGAGACACAATGGGGTTTCAAGAATAAGGAAAAGAATTATAATGAATACAAGAATAAGGAAAAGAAATATGTAATGACTAAAAGAGAAACACAGTGGGGTTTCAAGAAGCATAGCATTGGACACGCTCTCTCCAGTCCATGCTCTTCACTAAAAATCACAAAGTAAGTAAGTATCTTTTTGTAAAAGTATTGTATCAAAATTAGAATAAAAAATTAGTATCAAAATTAATATTAACCAACACTCAAGCAGGAAACGACTTCTCAATGTTCACTTTTTTCTGCAAAATAGTGAAAACCCATAATGCACTAGCCCAATGTTTTTCTAGAAACCCAAAACACAATAGTTACAATAATGTTTTTAACAAAAAATTGAATTTTTTTGGCCAGATTGGCTCGATCTGGCTGATCCACCAATTCGGCCCGGTTTTCCAGATGACCAATCCACCCCACTGGTCTGGGTTTTCAAACATTGCTTGCAACTTTCAGCATGGTGTTCCCTTATATTCAGATGGATTGTCCAGTAGTGGCAAGTTCATGATTTTTATAGTAGAACTTATTTTCAGAATTTAGCCGGTTTTCTATTGTAATGTTTAAACCTTGTTCCAACTTCTGAATGAACTCAGTTGTATTCAACTGCTTTCATTTACACAAGTAAAGGATTGGTTAGTATGCAATTTGCCATGAATGTTCAAGTTACTGTTATTTGTTTGAGCTCTTAGAATTTTGGTTACTGCAACAAATAACACTGTGGCATATATGTTTTGATTTACAGTAAACCTAGTGTATCACATGAAGAGCATTTGCTCATTTCACGAAAATCAATTGGCTTTCATCCAAGTCATGATGGTTCATATTCTTCTGGTTGGGGAAATCAACCAGGGAAGCCGCACTCAGCTTCTTTTGGAACTGGTGCAGAGAGCATTCAAGGGCTCAGTTCTAATATAACATCAGAGAGCTTCGGGACACCAACTTCACAAAGTGCTCATCCCTTCAGTTCAACTTGGGCTGTTGCCAGTAGCACAGCTCTTGGGGAAGATGGACTGAGGAAACTTGACAGAGTTGGAAGTTTTGAAAGGAACATGGAGCCAAATTTTGCACCAACGGCAAATCTTCATATTGGAAGAATTCCCCCTATATCTGACTATAAGCATAACTTCACGATGGGAGATTCTACTGGAAGTTTACGAGAGGCTTCTGCCATTCCTCATGCTAATGAGCATGCTTGGCTTTATAAAAAAACTGGACCTGAGCTTCAAGAATCTCCAGTTGGGAGCTTAGCCTGCACTCCATCTATTACACCACTATCTATCAAGGCTCACACTTTTACACAACCTGGGTTTGTTGCCTCAAGCAATGCTTGGGATGTGCATTGTCTTAATCCTTCTTCACCTCTTACTCGGATTTCATCAGGAACTAATCTAAACAATGTTCATACTAGTTTTTGTGCGCCATCTTTTTTACCTTCTGTGACCCCTCTTTCCCAACTAATGGGAGGTTCTGCTCAGCATTTGGCCCGTATATCTCCACCACCTCCACCACCCAGTGATTTTCCCACTCCACCGCCGCCTCCACCCCCATCTCAGCCTCCATTGGTTCCTCCACCACCAACCTCTCCACCTCCTGCATCATTGCCACCTAGTTTTGAATCTTCAAAACTAGAAACTCATAGACATAGTTCACAATATCGCTGGCAAGGAGCCCTGTGTAAAAGTGGTGCTCATTACTGTACAGTTTTTGCAAATAGGGAGGATTCAGATGCCTGCAAATATGTTAACTCTGTACCTGAACCAGCAGAGTAAGGATTGAACATGTCATATGCATATCCTCGTATTAATCTAGTCGGCTTTTGGTTCTGTTCATTGCATTATTTATGGGGATTACGTTTACTGACTATAATGTTTTATGATAATATCTTGTGCAGTTGGCCTACTAGATTGGATGTGACGAAGCGTACTGATTTTCGGCATGTGAATTCTACATTTAATAATACTCCATCACATAAAGTGAGTTTGTAATTCTATGAGAGATTTCTAATGGAGATATGATCTTTTGAAACCATTTACATGGTTTTCTTATTTATCTGAGGCAAAGTTGACGTATTTACATGGTTTTTCTTTGAATATCATAGTTGTAGGTCGTTATAATTTTCTCCACATTAGGTATATGACTGCTTTTGTGTATTTACGTGGGGATATCTATGTTGTCGCTTGTGAGGAGTACCAATTATTTCCTAATTCTTCCCTTGGAAACATACAAACTAGTGGATCTGCTCAAATGTACATTGACATACATTACATGTTTATTGTTCTTGTGTGTGACACATATGTACATGTAGTATATGTATGTACACATATGTAACTTTCTGTCTCAACTCTGAACATGTATACATTACATGTTTATTGTTCTTGTGTATGACACATATGTGCATGTGGTATATATATGTACGTATATGTAACTTTCTGTCTCAACTCTAAACATGTATAGTTGTATACTAGTACTTAACCTGTACGATGCACAGAAGACTTTTTTTTTGTTGGGGAGGGGGGGGACCTGAGAATATTATTTGCATTATTCAAAAAATAGATGATGTTGTATATGCAAAAAGACAATATATTTACAAAAATATATTGATAAAGTAGTCCATTCTGAGAGGCAAAAGTTCATGGAATGAATGGGAAACACAGTGCGTTTTGAATGACGGAAAATATGTTCCGAATAGCGAGATAAAAAGGTAATGGAGATTTGTTTTTCCAACATCATCAGCATACTTAACGATTAAAGAAAAAAAATTGTCAGGGTACTTAAAAAAGGAGAACAATAAAACTTAACAATAATGTTATTACAGGCACCAATATGTGACATCAACCTACCAAAGGGTTATTGTAACCATGTCTTTTAGAGGTTATGTGACAAAGTGGTTGCCCATAAAAGTATTGTTAGGTTTCAATAGTATCCCCATGAAAAATAGAGATCATTTTAAGTAATGAATAATATTTATCTAGTTTAATAAAAAATTATGGTGTAAAATATAAAAGGACATTAAATAAAATGGTCACATGGGTCTTTATTTTTCCTTCCTGTAGTCAATTGCTTTTTTACTTGAAGGTTTGGAGAAATCAATTTAGAGCAAAAAGAGAAAGTTCCCATTTAGCAGAAATATGGAGCTAAGAGATGAGGAGATGAAGAAAGGAAGGAGGAAAACATTGAATCTACGACTAAGAGAGCACTGGGGATTTGGACATTATGATGCTTCTCTTCTCTCTCTCTCTGCACACTTCACAATGACATAATAAAAGTTCAGAGAAAGTAGTAAAAATAGAAGCCTGTTCGAAACAATGAGGGAGGGAGGGAGGGAGTTTGCAAGACTTAAGATTTTCAATTATAGAAGGGGGAGGGAGGGAGGGAGTTTGTTTGACCTAAGATTTCCAATTCTAGAAGGGAGGGAGGGATGGAGTTTGCACGACTGAAGATTTTCAATTATAGAAGGGGGAGGTACTAGCAATTTATTGTAGTGGAGGTGAGGGAGGGAGGGAGGTAGTGAATTTGCATGACTTGAGATTTTGAATTATAGAAGGAGGGACTAGCAATTTATTGTGAATTATTATAGGGGACGTCTGTTGTTAGGAGGAAGAGACTTGCTATTTTTCAGTGGGGTAGGAGCATAAATCACTCTTTTTTTTGGTTTGTGGTAAAAATCCCATGTTGATGTAGTCATTTATTTAGAAGAACGACAAAGATTAGAAAGAAGATATGGGAAGCTTAAATGGGGAGACAGAGCAATAAACCTTATTACATTAAAGAGTCCTTTAGTGATTCTTAAAAGTTTATTAATGGCCTATTACTTAATGGATAACCAATGAATGTTGAACTCTGACACTTCAAAAGAACCTTTTAAATCCTGAGAATTTGTTGAACATGTATTATATATAGTTAACATGTAAATATGAATACAGGTATTTTAGGCAAAAAATGTGACATAAATAACAAGGTAAACATAGTATAAATGATTAATGTTTGCATGTATTATCTTGGTATGTGACTGATTTCATCTTTTTGGTCAATATTTTTGTAACTGATCAGTTGATATTTAGTTTGTTAAACTAGAAACTAGTTCTAGTTTTCCCTTTTGACTTGAAGGGTAGAGATGTTTAGAAACAATGATAGGTGATTAGAAAATCATGTCTAAATATTTAAATATTGAATTTTTTTCTGAAAACACAATAGAAGGGATTAAAGGAAACAATAGCAGGAGTTAAGGGCAAGTTGATCGCTTCTTTGTAATTTTATAGTGTGATTTACTTACTGACCTGCTTCAAAAAGAAATAAGTGCAGGAGTAGAAGGGAACTTCTTTTATCATAGAAGGGAAACTTTATGGGCATTCATACGAGTGGGGTCAATGCTACTATCCAATACTGTCAGATTCACTTTAGGGCTTATTTCGGTTGGTGAAGGAAGAGCAGTGCTTCAGCGCTTCTGCTGATTCTATAGAATATATCAGGTTTTCTTTTTTAAAATAAAAACCAAAAACAAAACAATAAAGGAAAAACAAAAAATGAGAAATGAAGGAAATTAGGAACAAATTATATTTTGGGACAAAGCTGTTAACTTTGCAATATATGTTTTTGCACAGAGTTGGGTGCATATTAAAACTTTGCTGGCCCAATCATCCTGATTTTATAATTTATAAGGTCCAACTATGTTAAAAATCCATTTTTTAATTGGATTGAGAGAAATGATAAAGACGATGTATTTGCGTTTTCATTAAATCTTTTTAGTGGTTAATATAAACCTGCATATGAAGAAAAGAAGACTCACACAAAAACCTTAGTTAGAATTTCCAACACACACAGCTCATGCCGCTCCTGCCCCCAGTCCCCCCCCTCCCCCCACCACCACCAACAACCCCCCCAAAAAAAAAAAAAAATCTCTGCACTATTAAGCCCTAGAATCTACGTAAGTTAAAACCCTGAGATTCATGGGGCATTTCCAATAAGATTAATACCTTAGAAGTTACAATAGGTGATGTAAATGGGGATTCGTTCAGCACAGCGTTGGCTCAAACCATTCCTTAGCAGTTGGACAAGGCAGATCATACAAATTCTCAGAATTATTAATTTCGTGTTTCAGGATACGCATTAAGTATATTTTGGCTAAACTAAAGAATTCAAACAGAGAAAATCATATAATCACATGTTAAACCATGATCCAGGAATCCTAAATTCAAATTCTTCTATGAAGAATGGACACATATGAATTGTTGACTAAAAGCCTGGACACAAGCTCGGACTTGCCAGGTTCCGAGCCTGAGTCAGTGATCAACTCGAGCTGCATCTTTGTGAAAAAATACACAAGGGCTGGGACTCAAAGAGATGCCTGGGTCTCAGCGCTTGTTGTCTGGGCCTGGATTCATGCTAGGTCCAAGTGACTCAGGCAGGTCCTATCCCGATTCACTTATTTTTTAATCACTGATATGAACCAAAAACGAAGTAGGAAAAAGATGGAGCATATAGAACAAAAAGAATGTAATTCATGTGTGGAATTCATATCCTTCAATAAGAATGGGGGCTAGCCAAGGTAAATGTTTGTTGATATGATGAGATCAGTGGATGATGAGATCAGTGATTGAAAACTCGGCCGAGTGCACTCAGACTCAGCTGAGTTACTCTGACTCAGCCCTTTGCCGAGCCGAGTACTTTGGTAAAACTCGGGGTAATTCAAAAAAAAATCATAAATAATGTATTGAATTGTAAAATCAACGTGTAAATATTTCATATGTAGTTCGTATTTTTCTATGATGATTTGTGGGTTCTTCTTGTTGTATGCCCTGTTTTTATGTTTTCTCTTTTTTTGGAATTTTTTTTAAATGTCTCCAGCTACGTCAATTGTTTCTAAATGCATGTATAGTAATCTTTTTTCCATCTTAGTTGGAATTTTTATGCTGCTTTTAGTGTAGTTTAATTTTTACTATTATTTTATTTTTACTAATTCTTTATTTTTTAAAAACAAATTAGAGGTTTTTTTCGGCCCGTATACCATTCTAGCATCTACTGGGACTTGCCTGAGTTACTCGGCGTGGGTAGGGCCCAAATCCTAAGCCCGAGTTGAGTTTGAACCTTGGATGTGATAGACGTATTAATTTACAATTTTTCTTAGGCTTTCTTTTAACTTTGACAGTGGAGAAAAGGTTTCCATTTTAGTTTTTATCCATTTCATTTTAATGCAAAATGGCTTAGTTTGATTATAGAAATTTCTAAAAGCTAGCTTGGGTATTTAATTATAGAAATTCTTTACAATACTATATAAAGAAATTGGAAATACCAATCTTTTGAAATTTGGCAGTCTAAAAGTGCTAGAAAATAAGATAAACCCAGCCTGGTGAAACTGGATGAGGTTGTCAATCTGGTCAGGTTGACTTGGGTGAGTTGTGGGTCGACCCATCGGGCTTTTGTTCTATGCTGTGTCACTGCGTGAATCTGTCATGGGTTGCAAAAAATTGGTAAAGAGGCTGGAATCCAAAATGTAAATCTTGGGGAAATCTTGTCAAAACCGGAAGGCTTCATTTATAGCGTATTTCGCTTGGCCTGGCCTCTCCAGCTGCTGCTAGGCTAATTTAATTAAATTGCTTCCATTAATTGGAAAATAGATAATAAAAAAGTTGTTCTATCATGTTCATTTGCTTCTTTGGCATAGGGGAAGACTGTAGAGAGTAACATTTCTATTTTTAAGATAGAAATATATGCTGAAGGACCGAACTGTCCGATAAAACGGTCACAAGCATTTTGTGTTTGCTCAGGAGAGTAAACCATGTCCATGACTGGACGCTTTTGCAGGCTAAATGTTGCATACCCACTTTCAGTGTAATATAATAATCATTGTATTTCATGTTGTATAATATGGTTCTTTGTTTTTATTTCTGTGCATGGGCAATTTTATATAGGTTAAATTCGGAATGGGATACACTTACTTGGAATACACAGTCAACATGCTCTGCAGTATAATGTGCATCTCTCTTGACGTTTTGTATATACTATGTTGGTTTTATGTTATTGATATTACTGATTCATCGTTCTGCTTGTTCATATGCATCTGGGTGGCTTGAAGCCATCTTGGATTTCCTTTTTGCTACCTTCCAACATTGTATTTGCTAATTTTCATGCATGTTAACTGCAATATTAATTTTATTTTTGGCTAGTTCTCCTAGTTGATTTATATTTCCATGTTTGTTTGGCTCATTTCACTATGGTATATGATGTAGAGAGAAATCTGTCGACTGCTTCCATGTACCCCAGGTGACCACAAAGGCGTAAGTTGCTTCTCTTTAGACTTGGAAAAGAATGTCCAAGATTTTGTATCAATATTGTTTATCATTGCTACATTTGTTATACATTTATTTGTTGCGACCTTTATCTAATGATGGCGATGCTTTCCCTTTAATTGTTGAATACTTGGATGCTTATGTCTCAGCCTGCTGCTTGTGCACACGAACACAATCACTTGATAATCAATGTAAAAAGTACAACAGTCACATATAAATGAAGTGCATCCTAGAACCTGGCAACTAGGATACCTTTTAAATGACCAACCAATATACAGAGGCCAGCAAGTCCATTGTCCAATTCTCTTTGGAGCTAGATTTGGCTTATCTATCTGATGGATTCACTTGGATCCAAGTGTAGGTTTCATAGGAGCGAGCTTTTATTGGATTTCACTTTATTGGGAATCTGACGTATTTATTTGTATTTGTTTAATTCAGAATAGTTGCATTTGTGCTTTGCAGCTGAAATCATTACTCTGTAAAAAAGAAAAAGAAACACCAGTCTCACTGTGTGACGAGTGGGATCTCATAATGCATGTCCGTTTCTCGTATGGTAGTAAGTAAATGAATTTGACCCGCAACATATATGTCTTTCTATATCATGTGTAAGTACTGAAAATGTTATGGGATGGCTCTCATTTAGACATAGGACATGAAATCTTTCCCCAGTGGGTCTAAACCAAAACAATCTTGTTTACAATTGATTCATTACTTGCTCAAGCAGGTATCATATACCTGATTATTGTTTGTTGTAGTTGATCCAGGTTGGTTACTATATATCTTTGTGCTCTTAAATAGATGCATGCATTTCTGGGTTCAATAGTTTTTTTCTTCATTTTTTTCTGCTTTGAAACATCATTTTTTTGGGTAAAGAAAAAGCTAGGACCATGCGGTTTGCACTATGCATTGAAACTTTAAGTAACTTTGTGACAGCTGATTTATAGTTTTCTATAACCTTTCAAAACTGCAGAGAATAAGAAAAGTGATGAAATTTGTTCTCAGTAGGCCTGACAAGTTTATTGATAAGTTTAGGTGACTGGTTTGTTGGCTCCAGTTTCAGGACTTTATTGCATATCTGAAACAGAAAGAATGCGCTGGCGTTATAAAGATTCCAGCTGGGAAATCCATGTGGGCGAGGCTTCTGTTTATTCTCCCCCACTCTGTGGATACTTGCTCTATGATTGGCATTGCTCCCTATCCCACTGATTGCCTTATTGCTTTGATACTTCCTAAGGAGACGAGCTTCGACTGGGTCTGAAATTTGAGGCAAGTTTATTTCTTTGGTATCTATACCCATTTCTCCTCAGTGGTTTTTTGTAAGATTAGGTAAATATGGGGGCCCAATAATTCAGAATTTTGATGTAAACTTAGGTCAATGTAGTTTTTCAGTTCAGTCAATGTGATTACCAAACATGCCGATGTATAAGTTCTTGAAATACAAGTCTATCTTTTTTTTTAAATTACTTTGGTAGCTCATGAATCTCCTGTTTGGTAGTGTCATAGAGGTGTCCCTAGAATATATTATTATGTGCTATATATATTATACAGAGCATATATACTATACTCCCGTGGGAGCCTCCTGTACACTTACTCCCTCGGGCAAAAGGCTTGAGAAATTTTTTTGATTTGAAATTTTGGGACCACCTAAAAATCACTAGAGATTATGTTCAGAAGAAATCTGAAAAAAATTGAGTTTTTAGGTTTCCAACATATAGATCTCAACTGTCTCAAATTGGGCAGTTTCTGTTCAATCTTGAGGCATTATTTTTGTCAAGCCTCTAGATAGTGCAATTTGGAAATTTTTGTATTGAGTATAGCATATGGGTTGAAGAGGTTACATCCTCAGGTACTGAAAATACTCCTAGATTGAGTTTTACCTGAGGGAGTAAAGGGATGGTATGCTCGCTTGGGAGCATGAAATTGTTTGGCTATTATATATGCACCTAATGCATGTCAATATATATATATATATATATATATATATATAGAGAGAGAGAGAGAGAGAGAGAGAGAGAGAGTAGTCGT